AAATGTGACCAGATGATGTACACCTGGCCTCTGAAAGTGCACACAGCATGAACAGACATGCTTACTTGCTTATTGAAAGAGCCGTCATACCAGTTCCCAGCAGGCAGGGTAAATGAAAAGGAGTATGCTTTTCGAGGCTGCTGTCACTATGCCGAGCCAGCCAGGATAATAAACTAAGAACACATCTGGCAGGGCCGGGAGGCACAGCCTTGTAAATGCAGGTACTCAGAAGACTGAGGCAGGAGGATCACAAGTTCAAGGACTGCTATAGAGAGATCTTGTCTCAGACAGTTACTCAGTGTTAGAGCTCTCACATGGCACACATGAGACCCCAGGTTCAATCCCAGTCACCAAGCAAGTAAGTAAGTAAAACCATATCTCAGGGCAGTGTGTGTAGCTCAGTGACAGCATACAGCTTAGCTTAGCAAAGGAGTAGTGGTCACCATTGAATCTGAGTGTTTTTCTTTCCTTACTCCTTCCAAGTCTCTCCATCATTCTGTTTGCTGTTCCTTATGGGATCTAAATTCAAATTTAATTTGCCAGTCAGAAGCCCTCATTAAACGCCAGACAATCATGTCATGTGATCTAATGCTAAAACATCAAGTAGCAGCCTTGGTACCTCCAAGTGATCTCAAGACTTGAACCCAAGTCTTAGGGTTCATGCTCTTTCTTGCCATTTCTATTGGCTCTTGTTCTGCAGTTTAACAAAGACTATACTAAATGCCATTAAAGTTCGAGAAACTGTGTGTGGTGCATGCCTATAATCCTAGCACATGAGTCTGAGGCAGGAAGGTTAGGAATTTAAGGACCACTTGAACTACTTAGTGAGACTTGAAAAACAAAAACTTGAAAAAAAAAGCTTTCAGATATTTAAACTAAACCTTGAAAGATGTCTGTTTTGAGTACGAGGAACTAACTGGGTGAAGGAAGAATGTTTGCTTGAAAGAAATGGCATTTTAGGGAAAGAAGATTGTGTGAACAAAAGTATACCCATCCCTTGGAGTCAGAGCATTATTGAAGGTGGTGGATATTGACTTCTGGAGTAAGGGCCTGAAAATCTTCCACAACACAGAATTCAGTAACTAGACAAACATATGTGCCTTGTATGGCATATTATCTAGTCTTTAGGATGAGTTGTGAAGACTGGTAGACAATATGGGAAGATATTTACTAGAAACCCGCTGAGTTTAGATCGCCCACTTAAGGCTACAACAAAGTGCTTTGTGGCTGGAACAGCCTCTCAGCAGGTCAGTGGGGAGTCAGGAGGGGAAGCGTGCAGGAAGAAGTTTTTAAGGTAGGGTAAGAATTCAATACCTCTAATTTCCAAGTGTGAGACGGTGAAAGTGGTGGAATAAGGCATCGAGGAGACATAAGGGGTCCGAATCAGGGCACAAGAGACTAGGCCAAGGGAGCGCTTAGTAACTGCACAGGAATGGGTTTGGGAGGGACTCCTGAGGTGCAGCCAAGCTTGGTGCCTTGAAGGTAGGAGCAGGGACCACAGCCAACCTTTGCCTTGCCCCTGAGCCTCTTAGACCTAATGTGAGAGGTAAACCTTCAGTGTCTGACTCTTGTTTAGTTCACTGCCTGGATTTCCTGTCTTCTAGCCTGTCCCTAGGCTATGCTGTGGAAGCTGGTCACTCTTCTCTAAGGCCTTGTCCATCAGGCATCCCTTGCTCTTTCCTTCAGCTCCGGTCCCAGCACATGCCTTCTCAGAACACGCTGTGCCGTTCTTCAAACTTCCCCTCCAGTTCTGCATGCCTCTGAAAACCTGCTGTCCCTCTTACCTGTCTTGTTTTGAGGCAGGATTTCACTGTGCATGCCAGACTAGCTTCAGACTCACTATGTAGCCCAGGCTAGCCTCAAACTCATGGCAGTCTGTTTTGGACTATTTGAACACTGTGTGAAGATGTGTTGCTGTGACTGGTGGAATAAGAAGCTGCATGGCCAATAGCTAGGCAGGAGGTAGAGTAGGGACTTCTGGGCAGAGAGAGAGCTCAGGGAGGAAGAAAGGTAGAATCACCAGCCAGATATGGAGGAAGTAGGACAGACAGTGAAGAAATGAGGTGATGAGCCTTGTGGGAGAATGTGGATTAAAAATTGCCGGTTTAATGTAAGTTATAAAAACATGTTAGGAGCAAGGCTAAATTAAGGCCAAGCTTTTTATAATTAATAAGAAGTCCCATGCCGTTCTTTGTGGGCTGGAGGTTCTGAGAAGACAGTACTACTCCCACAGTCCTCCTGTCTCAGCCATCAGAGTATGGGACTTACAGGCATGCGCCACCACACCTGCCCTTAACCCTCTCCTGATAACTCCTTACGGTGACCACCATCCACACAGAGCTCTCAGCACCTGTAACCCTTCTCTCCATGTCTGCCGCTAACTAGTTACCACATCCTTTCACTTTATCACGGGATCACTGGCAGTTTCTTATCCTCCTTTGTCTTACTTAGGGTTTCTATTGTTGCCAAGGGACACTGTGACCACGGCAACTCTTAATTAAGTTGATAGCTTACAGTTTCAGAGGTTCGGTCTGTTATCATCGTGACAAGGAGCATGGTGGCATGCAGGTAGATGTGGTGCTGGAGGAGTAGCCCAGAGTCCTACATCTCGCCGACAACAGAAGTTTACTGAGACACTGGGCGGTATCCTGAGCAGAGGAAACATCAAAGTCCACCCACACGGTGGTACAAGTCCTCTAACAAGGCCGTGCTCAGTCCAGCAAAGCCACATCTTCTAATAGTGTCACTTCCTAGGAGATTATGGGGGTCAATTACATTCAAACCACCACATCCTTTATGTCCACAGTCACTGTTTAGTTCTCTGGCACAGTTTCTCTTGCCTGAAAAAGTAGCTTTGCCATCTCCCAGACCCTAATGTCACCTCCACCAGCCTCCCTATGTATCATTACTAAGTGCTATGGGGGGTCTTTCAAAAGAGCATGGTCCACATCACTTCCCCACTCCAAGTCCCTCCAAGGACTTTTGTGATCAAGTTTAAGCTTTTAGATTGGCATTTATTTTTCTTCACGATCATTCTTTTTTCTTACCACTGGAAGAGCTTGGGTTTCAAACCTGACTTGTGGGTCCAGGATGGTCAGCTATCTCAGACCTGCATGTGTTGGACATGTATGATTTTCTTCTTCCAACCTGGGACTACCAAGTCAGGGCTGATGATCCCATCAGGTGCCAGGATTTCTGTAAAGTCTCCCCAGAGTCTTCTCCATGAGAGGGCTACTTCCCAGAAGCTCCTCCCACCAGCTCCCCCAGCATCGGACCAGGACTGTCACTCTGGACAGGGATCTCGAATAGTTCCTCATCTAACTTCCCATACACAAGCACCCTTGTGATCTTTACCTGTTTCTCTTTGCACCCTCAGCATCTCTACAACTTGCTATGTGAACCAGGCTGCCCTCCAACTCTGCCTCTGCTTCTGTTCTGGGATTAAAGGTGTGCACCGTCATGCTTAGCTCCCCATCCCCCCCCCCTTTTTAAAGCAGAGCAAAACGGATTTGAGAAGTGAGAAAGAACTCCTGAGAGTGGTATAGTCTCCAAGGGAGAAATGCCCATTTAATGTTTTTGAAGCTACGTGCCAAGGGAGGTATGTTTATTCTGAGATGCTCTGAAGGTAACAAGAGGCATGGAAATTAGTATTATGTTATTAGTATACCATAAGTCAGTATTTCTGCACAAAGCCCTGCTTTTGGACAGCCTGGGCTGGCCTTCTTTCACTTGGTTCATCCCATCAGTGTGAAGATTCCAGACTTATCTGTCTTTGTAGTAACCACCTTCCCCCAGCATGCTAGGTTTTTCTAGAGGATTCTTTGGATGTGAGTTATAAGGAAGGTTACTTCTTACACTTGGGTGGCTTCACAGCTTTCATGTTCACCTTGCTGAAAGGAGACACCGCTATGGCTGCAGCTCTCATACATAAGTCACGTTCAATGTTTTTATATGATTTTAAAAATATTCTGATATTTACATTTTTGCTTTCTTCTTCTTTTAATATTTATCTATTTATTATGTATACAATATTCTGTCATTGTGTATGCCTGCAGGCCAGAAGAGGGCACCAGACCCCATTACAGATGGTTGTGAGCCACCATGTGGTTGCTGGGAATTGAACTCAGGACCTTTTAAAGAACAGGCAGTGCTCTTAACCTCTGAGCCACCTCTCCAGACCTGCTTTTTTCTTCTTTAAAATGAATTAGTTGAATCGCTGAGCATGTCAATTCCAACTGACCCAGTGCTGTCTGGGCCTCTCCTTCCCCTTGCACCTTACCTGTTCAGAGCCCACCAAGGTTTTAAGCCTGTCATCCACCCAGCCCCCTTCCCCAAAGATAGTGGCTATCTGAACCCCTTCTGGTGGACGACCTTGTCCAAGTGTTCCACGGCTCGAAAAAACACCACATTTTCTGTTTCCAAGTTCATAAAGGAGCTTCCTTAAAGAGTCCTCCAACAGAGACAGAGGTGGTGAGGGTTTGACTTATGAGCATGTCCTTCGGAACCCTTTGTACACTCCACACTACTCACTCTTGCACCTAACGACTGACAGAAGTGTAACACTGACTCTGTGAGATGGAATGTCCACCAACATAGTGTGTTGATCAACAGCTACACTTTCAGCCTTGTTTGAGGACTTGACAAAGGGATGGAATGGGATGAAGACAAACATGGAGTCAGGAAACCAAGCAGGATATAATGCCAGTAGGTCACATGTTTGGTGCGCAATCACAGGGACATGATTCATATTCCCAGAACCCACATTTTTAAAAAGCCAGTTACGGTGCTGCATGTAGTCTCACCACTGTGGAGATGGAAACTAATGGATTCCTGGGGCCAGCTGGCCACCGAGCCTGTCCTATTTGGCAAGTTCTATACCAACAAGAAACTGTATGTCCTGAAACAACATGAATGACTCCTGCAGAGGGACACCCAAATATGTCCTTTACCTTAGATACTCAAACACATACACCCCCTCCCCCCAAATAAATGAACATGACTTCAGGAATGAATATTTAATCATGGGTTACTGTCAGTTCAAGTGGAAATAGGACATTCTTTACATTGTCCATCAAGATGACGTACCAAGGTCATGGACTTTGGGTGATTTTCTAATCTTGGTCTGTAAGAAAGAAAGAAAATAATGTAAAAATGGGGAGAGAGAATTAAAATAGTGAATATAGTAAAAAAAACACCATTATTTTGGTATATTTTCTTCTCATTTTCAAGAAGTTGTCCTTTAGGATCAAAATATGAGACACTAAAATGATGAAACTTTTCAACACAAAGTGTGCAGACCATCCTCAGTGAGGACCATCCTCAGTGAGGACCATCCTCAGTGTGGACCATCCTCAGTG